AGAAGTCACTCACAGATGGGGCAACAAAAGTATGGTCCAATATCGACAGAGTTGGTGGCATAGCAGTAAGACTGAGGTGGACACTGAGGCCATGGACGCTTGGGGTCGCACTCGATGGGAAGCGAAGGGCCTCCTGGGCATTGCCCGGTTGGTGCTACTGCTACAGCCGGTTGAAAAGCAACTGGTACTGGTGGAGGTGCAGGAGCAGCAGCCATTGCCGGCATGGCTAGAAAAAGCAACAAAATAAGTGAGATATCTTCAGGAAGTAGAAAATTGTAACTTACGTGGAGGGGCCATTTGGGCTAGCATTGGAGCAGCAGCTAACTGTATGTTTCGGGGGCTTTGAGCCGCACCCGCTAGAGGCTGAATGTACTGTCGTCGTTTGGCGCTTTTAATTTCCTCCTCTAAAGCACACTTATGTGACATTAATATGGGCAGAATACTATAACAGAAGCACAATAAATGTTTCACAACGGATGAAAAATCGAACCTGACTGAGGCAGAGCCAGCACTACGGAAGCGACACAGAAGCTTGCAATTAAAATCTTTGCGACCATCGTTGATGCTCTGGCTGCAGAGCACGAAACCCTCGTTATATAGATTTGGAAGAGCCAAGGGCGGAGCGTACCGGTCGTTCATTGTCTGGAAGTGATGAAACTTTTCGCTGGACTCTGAACAAGAGGTGCAGGAAATTTGAAGCGCGGAGGCGGGCGGAGCCGTATGTGATGTTGCATGCTTAACGTTTCTTTTCTTTATTTTTTAGATCACCTATATCACATTGCATTTCTCCGATTTCATTGCTTTATTAAGCCTATATGACTTCCAACAAAGTGCTGCATGTATGTAAGTAAAAAAAAAAACAGCTTTTTAAGGTGTTGGGATTCACTGTAAAAGAATGCTTTAGTCTATTATAGTTGCCATCACTAAATTTTCCGACTTAGTTTCTTGAGCACATTTTTGCTTTCCTTGTGTTACGCTTGGTGACACGGTATGTGATAACATCTAAATAGATAGAAAAGATGTCGCTCGCTGTTCTGCCGTAGAGCATTTGTACTTAATCAGAGTGGAAAAAAAGTTAGCGTTACCAAAATTATTTGGCCACATTTAGCCCAATGTTTGAACAGTAAATGTATATGAATCAATGTTTCATGTCTGATGAAGATTTTGCATAGCGCTTTGATCAGAGATAAAAAGATGTTTCGAGACTTGCGAGCTATTTGCGCACCACACAATCTTCTTCACTTCCAACTGCTTTTAATTTCAAACAATTAATTATGCTTGCGTGAAATAACTACACACTCAAATAGATCTATCACTCAGTTATATTTATGAAGATATTCCACTGTAAATGCTCAGTCGTAGGAAAACGCAAATCACAAAAAGTTTCATTAATGCTCCTCAAGAATTTGTAATAAGCCAAACTTGAAAAGGTGCCTTTATAACGTGAGACAAAGTCGAATGCATTGGTTTACCCACCAAGAATAGAGGCAATAAATAATTTCCCCTTGTTCTCCCGCTTCTCTCTTTTTGCCAAAATCAGCTAGCAGTTCTGCCGATTTATGTTATGGTACCAATCTAAAGAGAAAGGTGATTTTATGTTTGTTAGTAGAACTACAGTAGTTTCGTTTATGCCCA